CTTCTCTTTTTATCACACCCTCATTATGGAGCATCCTGGCAACACTAACAGGATTACAAAGAGCCTCAGAAAGGTGACGATAGTGATAAATGAAAATTAACATGGATAAAAAATTAGGTTCTGTTAAAAGAAAAAACACATTCAACTGTAACGATCTGGTGCTAACTCACTTTTTTCAGCTAATTTTTCAGCTACAGCTATCTCATTCATAGATTCCAGAGCATAAGAAAGAGATTCCAAAGTAGCTCCTCCATTTACATCAACCTCATCAACTACATTATGATCTTTAATAATCTGAGGAACGAAACCCACTTCAGGAGTAGGAAAATATTTATCTAAACAGATAATAATAAGGATACACTGATTAGTATTGGTTTATACTACATTCATAGACTTGCGTTTCCCACCACACACACGACCTCATACTTAAAGATATTTATTGACAAAACACATAACTTATATAATAATAGCATAGATATTGCAATGTGGGGAGGATTAGAAACTATATCACGTGTGCCACTTTTCACAGCTCAATCAGTGTTTGCCAGGAACATATGGCACCCTGTACAACTCTCGTTTTTGTGGGACTGTAACTCTTCATCCAAGGATACCAGACTCTATACAAAGACTCATTTTGTTGCTCAAATATTGATCTTTAGGGTTAGTTATTTTATTTACTATTTTTGTGAATCTTTCGTGATGTTTTACTATCAATTGTAGTTGAAAAGCCCATAAAGATAGCTAGAAGGGGCTTGTCAACCACAAATGACAGTAGAAGATCACGAAAAATTCACAAAAATTAATAGTAAATAAAATACCTAAAATACCTAATACCTAACCCTAAAGATCAATCTTTGAGCAACAAAATGAGTCTTTGTACAGAGTCTGGTATACCTTGGAGGAAGAGTTACAGTCCCACAAAAATGAGAGTTGTACAGGGCGCCATATGTTCCCGGCAAACAAGATCAAACTGGGAAAAGTGGCGCACGTGATCCAGTTTCCAATCCTCCCCTCATTGCAATATCTATGATAATAGTGAATAATGCTGGCCACCCACTTGTATCAGTGTAATGGAAACTATGAACAATGAATTAATTAAAGTTGCCTTACAACAAAATTTAATTTTAAAATATGCAGTGATTACATTATGATACTCACTAATATCATCCAGTATAGTTTGTCCTAGTGATACATTAGTACTTATTGTACACAATACATTAGCAAATGTATATAAACTGTTGGGATCAGTTTGAACAGCTTCTTTGACACCAGTTAATAGAGCCTCACGTTGATTAGGAATAGAGGGACTAGCTGACACCACTCTACTAACTGCTTCTTGTGTTAACATACGCTTATCATAAAGTAACCAAGCAATACCAACAGAATCACAAAGAGACTGAGACAGGACAGTATGACGATTATTAAAAATATTAATAAGAACTATGATAGAAAATACAATGATTATAGTTACATACAGTTATGGTTGACTCACTTAACTTCTCAGCTACAGCAGTTTCATTCATAGATCGTAGAGCATCTGACAGTGAGTCCAAGTTGGCTCCTCCTCTACTGTCAACATTATCAGCTCTACGGAGCCATTGGGAGAGGCACTCTGTCATACAACGAGATACATCATGAGGATGATTCTTTTCTATGATGTCGAGTGAACTCTTCCTTAGTCCTATTCTCAGTCCAAGATCATACCAATTTGATTTTGGAAACCCACATCTGTTCAGTGAATCAAGAACATCAACAAGATCATCAATGCCTACAGAACAAAATCTTATGATCAAAAAATGCACCGTGCATAAATCAGGAAATTTATGTAGCAGAAAATTGTGCTTCAAAACTTTTTGCAATAAGACTGTGCATACTTAATGCCTTTCTACACTATAAAAAATACAGCACCGGTTTAAAACAGGTTTAGCGCATTCAATAGATAACCAATGGCAGCTGGATGAGAAATACAATAATACAAGATCCTGAAGATAGTGTGGATCACTCGATGCGCATGGAGTTCCAAACCAGTTATAAAGGCCTTTAATTGTTAAAAATCGCACATATAAATGTGATGATGTAAAGATCTATATTATAATTAATTTCTAATCCAGTAGAATTACATATATATATAAAGTCACAGTAAATTTCCAGATAGACAGTACTCACGGTAGACTCTATACTGATTACCTAAACAAGTTTGACTAGTAGCCATAGCTACAAATTGATCCTGTCCTGAGGCCAGGACCTCACACTGAGCCTTTCTTTCTTTAGTTTCCTCTTCTTTGAACTTGTCCTTTACTGAGTTTTTGGTCGTGCCTCGGGTCTCTCCAGCTTGCAGACTTGCACTTGCATGCAAAGGTCGTGAAATAAAATTAGATTAGATTTAATTTATCCAATTCGTATTATTAGAATACAAAATGTCTGATGAAACTGATGATGAACTCTTTGAGATAACAGATTTTACTAATGCCTCCCCGTGGGAAAGGTAAGTATCAGCTCCTTTATATAATTTATTAAACATTCTCTAGTTTTGTCTCCACCATTGAAGACATATTGCAACAGTGGGGCCTCACTGCATCCACTTATTCAGTAAGACATAGGCTGATCAATGATTTAAGCTTGTGAGTTTGCCTATTGATGAGCAACGAGTTGCGAAATGGTTAGTTCACTCATAGATATTAGAGACTACGTATACAGTCTCTAATATCTATGGTTCACTTAATGATTGTTATCTAATTATGTGCAGTGTTATAGGGGTACACACTTTTATGGAAGTTGGGGAACTACTTCTATCTTATCTACAAATGATACTTCTAATAGCCATGGCTTTTACAGTTCTTATTATCATTATTATAATTATACAATTTTAGGCTATTTTGGTTTTTTTAAACATACTCTTTTACTCTGATAACAAAATGAATTTGATGAGTAGATGAAGAATGGAGAAAAACAAAACATTAATGTTAAAAACTGAGTTTTAGCTATAATTCCTTCTTTATACTTGTAGTAGCCATGTTCTGAGGGTGTGTCCATCACGTGAAATTAACACGTGGGTGCATCCGGTCAAATGATCAAGCTGCACTAATTACATTCCATTGTGCCCAACAAAAGCTTCGAGTGTCTCCAGACCCTTCCTCTTCCAGCAAAGGGGCGGGGCCAGACTAAGTAAGACATTAACAGTCTCTCAGTCACTGTATCTCTTCTTAAAGGCAGATTCTGGTTATTGGCCACAGCATAGGAAGTCAGAGAAGCTCTCTTATGTTGGACATAATTTCAATGTTAGCCTCCACGTGTCTGGTGAGAAGAAACAACCGACAATCAGGTGATTGGTGGTGGTGGGTGTGGTTTATAATGGGTGTGGTTTTCTATAGATGAGGATTGGCCTGATGCTATGGTACATATGATGGATTCATCAAGTGATTTCCCTCCAAGAGCTCATCATCATATCTCTAGATGGTAATAATTATCGTATAGTCGTATACATGTACATGTATACTGGTACTTGTAATTATTATTTCTAATAATTTCAGGATGGTGACATTTGATGTAAAACTCTTATATTATTTCTAATATTATTTTTGACTATGTACATTCACCATTAGTTGTACATGTCTATTTGTCTCCATTTACATATAAATTTAAGAAAAATTTGAGTTAATTCCAATTTTATTGGATTTTTATGAATTATTAACATTGCTAAAAAATTAGGTCAAAGACTCTGTACTATAATAGTATAGGGTTCTGGGCCAAATTTTGCCGAAAATGACTAGGAGAAAACTTTTCATTTTAATAATTTTTCTGATACATATTCATGTTCTTATGTTGTGTAGCAAGTTTGAGCTATTTTCGATCAAAATTGAATTTTTTATGAATTTTTAAAGCTGCTCCAAATGCCATGTACCATATGTGTCAGCTCATGAAGCATACCATTTAGCTCACTTAGCATGCTTTGTGTGAAACCCTGGCCTATATTGTACAATTTTTGCATGTAGTTTTTAATTATTATTTTCAGAAATACAATCAATCATTAGGTATGGTGTTGATCAGTTTATATTGATATCTCCTGATGAGAAGAGTCATGCAATATCAAGTGAAGCTCAGTCCAAACTATTACTCAGTTCAATATCTCTGGCTGTAGCTAACACTGGATGGTCTGTTATAATAATTAATCTTATAATTTTAATTTTAATTTCTCTCCATTTTATCTCTTCTCTTCAATACTTGTCTCTTCTCTTCTCATTCTCTTGTCCTCTATTCCTTCCTTCAGTACATTGCCTATATTCATTCAGATACAGAAGAATTGGCGTCACATGTTTAGCGGACAGTGTGAGGGGTGTGGTCTCCGTACGTGTTTTGAAATGATACATTTGAGACATATTCCACCTCACTTTAGTCACCTCTCAGGACTACTGAACTTATTCCAATCAAAACTGGTACATTTCTATCTCCCTTCTATTAACTATTATTTGTAATTTACAATGAATATGTACAATATGTAATGGTTTTATGAATAGAATGGTGTGAATGTTAATCCTCCTGATATTAATATTGTTGCTAGACTAACATAAGACACTGGAATGTGGAGGATTGGCCAGTGAATCCACTCTGTTAGTACCTTATTCATTATAATCATTAATTAATTTTATTATTAATTCCAGCATCTGGTGATGGCAGTGATTCTTTCCTTATTCTGCCAGTGCAGGAGCAAGTTCTGATCCTATACAGTAAATATTAATAATTGATATCCTTCTCCATATCTCTCCCTCCCTCTCTCTCTCTCTCTCTCTCTCCAAGGGAGATTCATCTTTGTGCTGTTTGGCCTCTACTAACTGAATTAACAGTCACTGACAATGAAACTAATTCGTAAGTTGATGTGTAGTGTTGTTTACTTAATGCAATGCTGTTATTTTATATTAAAGAGGATTTGATCCATTCAGTGCACCTAAATGGAGCATCAGGACACAGTTACTTGATAATCCAGGATTATTACTGAGTAAGGATTGACATACTGATTTTAATTATGATAAAAATGTCATTTAGATGAGAGGTTGTGCTTATTTTAAAGAATTGCTACAGATCTGATACATTCACTAACTTATTAGGCAACAAATTACTTCAAGAAGACATATACAATCCTGGTAGGTATAGACACATACTAGATCACTCCCAATATCATGTTGTTGTATAAAGCTGTAGGTAGCAGTGATTTCTCTCATGCTCTTACTAAACTGACTAGTCCGAGTAGTCTGAGTACACTCTCCTCTGTTAGGTACTCAACTAGTAAGAAGTTAGAGTTTGGATCTGAATTTGAGCCAATTACTGGTTCAGAAAGAGATGAAATACTTGAGGTTTGGAGTTATAGTTTATTCCTCTCTTAGTTTTTGTCTCCTTCCTTCTGTTCTTTCTCTTTTTAGTGACTGTGTGTTTCCTGAAAGAAGTTGCTTGAGGGAAGTGGTATTCCAGGAATGCAGGCTATGTTCACTTAATTCTTGAGGAACAAAATATTGAATAGTTTCTGAAAGGAATGTTCTAGTACATTTACAAGTGTTGAATCTTTGCTATAGTTTGTTTATTGATAGAAAGTTTGAAAATTTGAATAAACTTGTATAAACTAAAGTGTAAATGTGTTATGCATAATGTACAGTGAATATAAATATGATAACTCTTTAGGTATAAATATGGATTTATTTACATTTTATTAAGGGAGGGAGAGCATTATGAGTACGAGTCTGACCATACAAGGTACATGTACAGAACATTGTGCTCAAGTTGTGTCTCAAGGAGAGTTTGAGGTAGAAGCATGATAATGAAAGTATAATATTGTAAATCTAATAATTATTGAAGTTGTATTTCCAGATCTACTCGATGGATGGTTTTAGTAGTTTTTTATATGTGATAATTTCTGTCCCTGCATGTCTGTCTATGCTTTAATCTTTTTTCCCATGTTTTTTGACAAATTTATTTGACTGGTAATTTTTAACTGTTGAGAATGTTGTAGTTTTTGCACTGGTTTTACTCATGGAAAATGCAGAATTGAAGCAGTTGATTCATTAATCTGTCAATGAAAAATCAGATGATTTCAGTGCTTTTTATAAAGGCATACACTTACTTTTAAAAATGATGGGATCCCTGATACCAAGATAAATTTTAGAAAGCTGAATGTTAACATTTCCATCAAAAGTATTGCCTGCTAGATTTTGAGCTTGCTCAAATCTTAAGGGACAATTTGAATCATAAAGTCACAAAGGGATAGACAGGCCAAATTAGTTTTAAGGTTCTCTAATTTTTAGTGTTTTTAATACTTTTGATTGCTATACAATGCAACTAATTTTGTTCCTTAGTTTATGCCTAAATTAATTATTGGCAATTTAATTAAATTTAAATGCAATTGATGAGTGGCTATACTATAACAAATGCAAGAGTTTGATTAAATGAATTATAACTGAGTTCTTTTAAAAAGTGAGCTGGCCAAGTGAAATGAGTCCAAATTCAATCACTTTGTTATGCCTGACGTTACATCCCTTCTGGTTGCATCATCATACTGAATAACAGAAATGGTAGGTGTATCTTTTACTGCAACAGAAGGAAACAGGTCATATATGTTAGTGTTCTCATTAGGTATAGGTACAATGTTAAAACATTCAAAATAGCCTCTACTCTCCTGATCCAGTTGTTTGGCTGATTTCTTTCTTCTCTTACCACTAGTAGCAATTGATTTTCTCTTTGCTTTGAAACTCCCTTTAAGAATATGTGTTTTAGCTCTTGAGTTTATAGTCCAGTAAACATTCTTTCCTCCTTTGTCTCGTGGTCTCATAAAGCAATCACTGCTGTACAGACAGTTCCTGATTGAGTTCTTCCATGCTCTCTGTGATCTCTTATAGAAAGGAAAAGTAGATGCAATGAATGAGTATATCTCATTGAGGGTGGCCTTTTTCTGAGGATAAGACATTATGGCGAGTCCAGCAAGTGCTGAAAAAGAATATGGTGGCTCTTTGTCTGAGAATGGTAGAGCTGGGTATGAGCCTGGAGGAGGAGGCAATGGAGGGAAATTGAACTGCTCAATGGCTGTAGCTGCTGGAGGGAGAGGTTGTCGGAGGGATAATAAAGATGAAGGTTGAAGTAGTGGTTGTTGTCCAATTAATGCTGGAGATGTGCATAGTGATTGCTGTAAGTCACCAGTAGTATCGTACATATTCAGAACATCACCATAATTTAGTATATCACTTGTACCCGGCTCTATCAACACAGTGGAAGCAGGAGGAAGACAAAAGGTGGGTGTTGCTGGATGAGAATGAATAGTAGACTGGTCTAAAGGTGGTACACTAGTGGTCCACCATCTCGGCCACATACAAGCAGACTGGAAAACCTTGTCAATCGGAGGAGCAGGGAGATTCAAGTGCGTAGAATAGTCTGTGTACATCATTGGTGGATTGAGTCTTGTAGGCGAATGAGGTGGAGGGAATGGGAAGAGTGGTGGGAGTGAGGGATAGAAGGGAGAAAAGCGTCTGGGCTGTGCTCTAGGATTAAATGCAGACTGAAGTGCTCTAAGTCTAAGAATGCCTGACACTAGCATATTATGAGCTGATGGATTAATATAATTAGGTCTGGTTGGTCTGTGCTGAGTGGAAGGTCCAGGTCTACCTGATACATGTGGTTGTATAATGATACCCTCAACAGGTCTTCTTGGATGATGCTGTATTTGTGCTGAAGCTCTACAAAATGGATACCTCCCTTCATTATGATGAAAGGCCATGCTTGCAACATCAGACCCCAATGGAAATGACTACATAAAATGTAATAAGATCTACATTGTCACTGATATTATGGAAAGTTACCTCTAAGAGACTGAGCAGGCTGAGACTAATATTATAGAGAAATGGAGAAGAGCCTTCTGAGGAGAAACGAGAGGAGAAAGTCTTGAGGTTTAATCCTTTTCTATGAATAATAATTAGAAGTGCTGTTATTAATTATAATAATTTGTGCTGAGAGCAGAGGTAGATAACCCAATTGCAAATCATTGAAAATGTTTGTTCTATATATTCATAGATTAGCAGGAAACTGGTCTTGCACTGTGAATCCTGGGGATTATGGAGGCTGGCTGCAGTCTAAAAAAACAAAATACCACACTCCACAGCAACCAATGGCAATGAATAAATTAGATAAACCAATGCTATGTGCATGTCCTAAACCTAGATCTATATAACAATGCATTGCATTTCATGCTCTCTACTAGTGACAATCAAATGCTCAATATATTTATTAATGCCTTATAAATCACTGGTTACTGCAAATGCCAGTAAATAATGTACAACAATATCTACTTGCCCACGCAAGCCCAACAAGGTATTAAGGCAAATCAAACTATAACCACAATACATAAACCAACTTCATGGCTTGTTCATCTAGAGAATTAATTTACTGAATATTGCCACAGCAACTAATTACAGAGTTTTATGCATGTACTATTAAAAAATGAAGCCTATAATTGGGTATTAATGTACAAGTCTAAACTGCAATGGGAAGTAATGTGACTAATGTCAATTAGTCTGCAGTGTAGGTGGAGTATTGTCTAACCACACTACCACAAAAGGTCCACAATAGCCATACAAATGATCCATGGATTCCTCAAGGACTGACCCATCACAGATCACTGGAGATGACAGCAGGGAAGAGGGGACATTGAAGCCAAGGGACTTCTTCTGGGACTCAGCCATACTTTACATTGTATCAGTCATATTGGCCCTATCAGTGGTTGATGCTATATCAGAATACATCAAGGGAAGCAGTGTTGTTTGTGATGTGAGAGAGAACGATCCTGCCTCTCCTGAATACATTAACTCTTATTGTACAAAGAGTCTCCCTATCACGGAGCTGCTACCAGCTTTTGTATTCATACATGGTCTAATAATTGCTATTCCTCACTATCTCTGGCTTGCTACTTTCAGTGGCCAATTTGATTATTTCTTTTCAATTGTCTCCAATCTTGACAGACAAAGGGACGAGTACACTGGTCGATATTCTGAACGAAGTTCCAACCTGGTACATCAACTGGAGCAATCCTTCACTACATATGGTCGAAACACCATTTACTATCTGTACATATGTAAACTGACCCTTCAGTTTGTCTTTGTGTTAGGATCCCTTGTACTCGCTGTATTTTATTTCACTGATTTTGAAGTTGTGTTTCGATGCCCAAGAGACAATGCTACAGTGAGTAATGACCCATTCTGGCCTCTAGAGAGACAAGTGACTTGTATCTTTACGTCACTGAAGCTTCTCTTTTGGGTACGAGTGGCAGATATCATTCTAATCTGTCTTCTACTTCTCTCTTTGCTGTGGGGGCTAGGCTGGTCCTTTGCTGGTCATCCTGTTGAATTAGGTGCTAAAAGTGTGGCCGAGTTCTCTTTCAATTCTGGAATAAACTCTCGTTTTTATGTTGCTCCTTTCTCTCGTTTTAGTCGATGTAACAAGTGCCTGGCGACTCTCTTCTCTTGGCTACCATGGCGATTCAGATCACCCGGGGTGATGACAGATTTGGATTTCATGTTGCTCAAACTGTATCGTACTAATGCTGGACTAGGATCAGTCTTTAAAGAGATACAGGTTGAGCTTGAACTGAAGAGACTAAAAGAGAGGGAACAAGAGATACTGACATTGCATAGAAATAAAATTGGTGAGACAATAATTAGATTTGTGTGTTGTGTGCATACTTTGCAATTACATTACTACTGTTCTCATTACTTATTATAGTAATGGTATACTAGAACTAGAAGTAATTTTTGTATTATTAGATACTGTGAATGACAAAGAGGGTGAACTGTTTTGGACATTCTCTATCAAAGACAACAAGACCCCATACCAATCATTTAAAACAATTGACAGATCAACTAGCATTGAGGTATAAGAATCATTATTTATTTATTATCATTATTACTTATACACAATATACATGCATAAAGGTGCCAGGCTCAGTGAGAGGTGCAATATTAGGACTCTCTGCATATTCTCCTACTAATAAAGGAGCTTTGTGTATCAGTTTTGGCAGTGAATCTGGTATTGGGGAAGCATTGTCACACGTCTTTGATCGAGTAAGTGTTAAGCAAATTGCACATATTCAATGCTTTGTTCTAATTAATATGGGTATTGACTAATGTAGTTGTCCTTGCCATGAATAGACAATAAGATGAGAAAGATAATGGTATTAAATTTAAGCTCAAATTTGATACATACAATAATAACGTCTAGGCATCACACAAGTGAGATGATGTACTAATAATCTAGAATCCTCTCTTAGGAATTATTTATAAATATGTACAGGGGTTTTCGTGAAATTTTAGAGCAATTTTTAATTAAAATTAGCTGTAACTTAGATCCTTATGCTATGTAGAAAGTTTGAGCTAATTCCAACATCAATTTTCAAGTTTTTAAAACAGACCAATTTTTGAAAATACCAAAGGCTCTAATATAGCCCATGGTTTTTCCAAAAAAAAGGCTCTAAAATCACCACAAATTTTTATTACATTTTATGATGCATATTGATTTCCTTATGCTATGTAGAAAGTTTGAGCTGATTTTGGCAAAGAATATTTGAGTTATAACAATTTTTTTAAATGGGCCAATTTTAAAACAATACCCAAGGCTTATAGACCACCCAGAGGGAGAATTGCAAAAGCTATGAATTTCATTAATTTTATATACGGTATCTGCCCACGTGCCATAATTGGCTGCCATTTTGGTTTATTGGTTGGCAAGTTTGTTAAGGAAGTCAATGGAGGCACGAAGAAAATGCCTCACTTACCTGCTGTAGCTCTATCAATAGCTAAAAAGTGCTTGTTATAAGAAAGAATAGCTACCTTTAAGCTTATCCTGTGAAAGATTTGGTCAAATTCGCTCCAGAATTCTTAATACAGGTTTGTTTTTATGTCGTCCCGTTTGCTCTCCATTGAAAGTTGCCAACCAAAATGGCGGCCGGAATTTATTTCATTGTAAACCGCGCCTTACAACCATAATAGTCTTCCCACGCAAGCAATTCTCACTCTGGGTGGTCTATAGCCCATAATTTTCCAAAAAATGGCTCTAAAATCACCACAAATTTTTATTACATTTTTTGATACGTATTGATGTCCTTATGCTATGTAGAAAGTTTGAGCTGATTTTGGCAAAGAATATTTGAGTTATAACAATTTTTAAAAATTGGCCAATTTTGAAACAATACCCAAGGCTATAGCCCATGATATTCCAAAAAATGGCTCTAAAATCACCACAAATTTTTATTACATTTTTTGATACGTATAGATGTCCTTATGCTATGTAGAAAGTTTGAGCTGATTTTGGCAAAGAATATTTTTTGAGTTATAACAATTTTTAAAAACGGGCCAATTTTAAAACAATACCCAAGGCTATAGCCCATGATTTTCCAAAAAATGGCTCTAAAATCACCACAAATTTTTATTACATTTTTTGATACATATTGATGTCCTTATGCTATGTAGAAAGTTTGAGCTGATTCTGACGAAAAAATTTTGAGTTATAACAATTTTTAAAAATGGGCCAATAATGGCTCCGAAATCACCCCAAATTTTTATTGCATTTTCTGATGCGTATTGATTTCCTTATGCTATGTAGAAAGTTTGAGCTGATTCTGGCAAAGTATTTTCAAGTTATGACAATTTTTTAAATAGGTCAATTTTCTAAAAATACCCAAGGCTATAGCCCATGGTTTTTTCAAAAAGTGACTCTAAAATCACCACAAATTTTTATTACATTTTTTGATACGTATAGATGTCCGTATGCTATGTAGAAAGTTTGAGCTGATTTTGGCAAAGAATATTTTTTGAGTTATAACAATTTTTAAAAACGGGCCAATTTTAAAACAATACCCAAGGCTATAGCCCATGATTTTCCAAAAAATGGCTCTAAAATCACCACAAATTTTTATTACATTTTTTGATGCGTATTGATGTCCTTATGCTATGTAGAAAGTTTGAGCTGATTTTGGCAAAAAATATTTGAGTTATAACAATTTTTTAAAATGGGCCAATAATGGCTCCGAAATCACCCCAAATTTTTATTGCATTTTCTGATGCGTATTGATTTCCTTATGCTATGTAGAAAGTTTGAGCTGATTCTGGCAAAGTATTTTCAAGTTATGACAATTTTTTAAATAGGTCAATTTTCTAAAAATACCCAAGGCTATAGCCCATGGTTTTTCCAAAAAATGACTCTAAAATAACCACAAATTTTTATTACATTTTTTGATGCGTATTGATGTCCTTATGCTATGTAGAAAGTTTGAGCTGATTCTGGTAAAGTATTTTTGAGTTATGACAATTTTTTAAATGGGCTAATACCCAAGGCTATAGCCCATGGTTTTTTCCTTAAAATGGCTCCAAAATCACCCCAAATTTTTATTACATTTTCTGATATGCATTGATGTCCTTGTGCTGTGTAGAAAGTTTGAGCTGATTCCGACTTTAATTTTTCAAGTTACGGCTATTTTTATAAATTGGCCAAAATCTGAAAAATACCCTGTACTATAGCCCATGGTCTTTCCGAAAAATGGCTCCGAAATCACTCCAAATTTTTATTACATTTTTTGATACATATTGATGTCCTTATGCTGTGTAGAAAGTTTGAGCTGATTCTGACTTTAATTTATTAAAAATTTTGAGCTGATTTCAGCAAATCATATGATATAGCATTTTATCCAGATTTTGAGTAGCTTTAAAAATTTGTAAAAATCCAATTTTGATCGGAATCAACTCAAACTTTTTATGCAGCACAAAGACATGTATATGTATCAGGAAAAATATAGAAATTCTCTCCTTACAATTTTGATGAAACTTGATATGTATAAATGTAGAGTGTTTTGTCAAATTTTGCAGCAATTTTATAAATCTACTAACAAGCTGTTAAGCACTATGCCAAAACCTGTGGAAAACCTGTAATAAAAATGAAGAACTTTCTTCTTGTCATTTTGATGAAATTTGGCCAAAGATCCTATTATACTTATAACATTATTATTAGCTAGATTTTTGAGCAACTTTAAAAATTCATTAAAAAATTTATGTAAGCAATATTTGATGCCATTATTATAATCATTATTATTATTATTATTATTATTATTATTATTATTATTATTATTATTATTATTATTATTATTATTATTATTATTATTTAGGTTGGTTTTGTAAAATTTACACGTTACAATAAAAAATTAGATGAAGATGTATCAGGAGCTGACAAAACACAAAAGATCATTGATTTGCAAATTTACGTTTCTGCATATGTAAGCGTGACTCTACCATCAAACATTCTATCATTGAGCATCAACCATAATATTGAGGTAAATATTGTCAACACTTCATGCTAATTTTTTATGTATTATTATTACTTTTTATCTGTAGCTCTTGTCAAGCATTGAGAAGATTTGGAAGGTGAAGATGAAGAGTGGAAAGAGAGAGCTGGTATTAACAAAAAAGACTTCGTTCATTGTTATTGGGCCTATGGAGAAAGAAGAAGAAGGAGTGACAAGTAAATTAAGATGTGTTTAAAGATTGAATTTTAAATATTGTGTATGTAGTGACTCACTTTCTGAAGCGTATACAGGATAACTTTGAGAATGGTTGTATATTGTGTACAATGACTCCTTTAAGAATATCAGGAAAGAAAATGACACACAGAGACTTTATTAAATGGTCGCCTCCAGAAAAGTAAGCAGAAGGAAATAATAATGTAGATTTAGTCTAGAAAATTTAAAAATTACAGGCTATATTATGTATGGTCGTTCTCGAAAAACTTGCATGTCAGCAATTTGCAAAGAAAATAGAAGCATGCAGACTAAAGCACAGTGGTGGATACCACTGTGGACCACAGTGGTGGATATCCATCAAGCCACATTAACAATTCGTGATGAAGCTAAAAATTGTAAAATCACAACAACAAATGGCTGACTCACAACCACAAAGCATGTTAAGTGAGCTTAAAAGCATGCTTTATAAGCAAGCTGATAAGCCTTGTTAAAATTTGTAAAAAATCTAGTTTTGATGAACATGTATTATGTATCAGGAAATTATAAAAATAAAGAATCATCCCCTTCTCAATTTTGGCAAAATTTAGCCCCAAGACTCAAATTTTAGAGCAGCTTTAAAATTTTTTTAATCCAAATTTGATCATAAGGACATGTATGTGTATTGGTATGAGGTATGAGCATTTCAAAGTATTGATAGTTTAAGTTTGTTGCTGAAATGGCACTACAAAAACAAGCTTAACAAAATATAAGCTTTCACTGTTGATTGATATTTTACAGTTTCAGTGAGCAGCAATTGGACATAAAGACAATTCAAGACTCCATTCCATGGCCTCCCACCCCAATAGTACAAGAGAAAAGAAGCAAAGCTGTCATAGGGAGCTCTTCACAGCAAGAAACCATTGATCTTGAGTCACTGGTGAAGGAGAAATCAGAGGAAAAGCAAGTTGGGGAGATAGAAGAAGAAACAGAAAAGAAGACAATGAAAAGAAATGTTCAGCTGAAGAAGCTAACATGTGGCAGCTCTACTCAAATAGGCCAGTTTGAAATAGCTACATATGTATACACACCACCAGTTGAGCCAGCACCAGTAGTAGCTCCTACTAGTAGAGAAGGAGAAGGAGCCAAAGATCAAGAATCAGGAAAACAACCTAAAACTACCAATGAAGAACAAGCCAAAGAGAATGAGAAGCTGCTTGTAACAGCTGAACTTCATTAAAGTAAAGTAGAACTATTGAGACTAAAATTTTTACTGATTGAAATGATTCATTACTTAATTCACATTGATGTTTTTAAAAGTGCTACAAAAGTACATCTTATCTGAATAGGTTACAATGTCGTCAAACAATTGTATGATAACATAGAACACACACACACAGTTTACTATACACATGAGATAGCAAACTCTACACCTGCCAAGTCAAAGTTAGGGCCAAGCTTGAGTATCATTGTCAGCTTTATAGTCATTGTGATCAACAGAGAGGCCTTCTCTGTGGTTTGGGCAATCGGATTTATAAAAACAAGTTTCACAAATGATCGGGTGATCCTCCCTCTCCCTACATGCAAATCTCACTGCAAAGTATAACTTTTCTTCAAATTTATTTCTACAGCCTAGTGCTTCACATGCCTAACAAAAATGAGTTGTAGGACATGCCTATCAAGACTTACCTTGGTTGGAGAATCAGACTGAGGGCCTCTCCTTTTTGTTTTTCCCCATAAATCATTATTGATAAACTGAATGATCTTGCTATCCTTAGGAGACTTTAAAATAGCAAACAGAAGTAGTTGCAATGAGTATTATCAATATATATGCATGTAAGTCTACTCAGTGTACAATTTGCATTGAATGCTTATAACAATGCTTCAGTTACCATTAAATCTTCCTCATCATCAGAATCTTTATTACTTTCATTATTGAGACAGAATTGACTCTAATAAATTCAATAATAATAATAATATTCCACTTTTCTTTTTCCTCTCTCTTATTCACCTGCTCTTCCTTGAGCTGCTTTAGAGCCATAGCTAGTAGCTAGTAGTTAATAACTGGTGTTGATATAACCATAATTATTACGTCACAAGTCAGGCTGGAGTGGAGGTGTGGCTGGTATCTGCAACTAGCTAGCATGCTATATAAAGGGCTTAAAAAATCTTTAAATAATTAGAAAAAGAAAGAGAGATGTCATCATCAAAAATAATAACAGTATTTGGAGCAACAGGAGCTCAAGGAGGTGCAGTTGCAGAGTCTCTCCTATCCTCAGGGAGTTTCTCAGTGAGAGCAATAACCAGAAACCCTGAGAGTGATAAAGCAAAAGCACTCAAGGGAAAAGGTGCAACAGTTGTAAAGGCAAGCATGGATGATGCAGAAAGCATTGCAGGAGCAGTGGAAGGGTCTTATGGAGTATTCTTGGTCACCAACTACTGGGAATACAATGACAAAGAGAGAGAAGTAAGACAAGGGAAAGCAGTTGCAGATGCATGCAAGAAGGCAGGAGTGTCACATCTAGTGTATAGTGGATTAGAACTGGTGAAGGAAATAACTGGAAGAAATTGCGATCATTTCGATGGAAAAGGTGAAGTAGAGAAGTACCTCGACTCAATTGGTCTACCCAATACCAGCGTACGTGTCTCATTCTACTATGAAAACTTCCTCAGTTTCAGCCAAAAAAATGAAGATGGTAGCTACTCAATAGCATTCTCAATGAATGGGCCAATGGATGCTGTGAGTGTGAAAGACGTTGGCCCAGCAGTTGCAGCTATATTCTCAAAACCTGAGGAGTTCATTGGAAAAAAGATTGGGTTATCAGGAGATCGTAAAACTCTCAAAGAATATTGTGACTTAGTGACAAAGCTCACAGGAGTCTCAATGACGTACATTAAAATGCTGAATGATGACTATGCTAAGTTGTTCCCAGGGTCTGATGACCTTGCTGCCATGTTCCACTATTATGAATTTGGTAATCCTGTACGTGACATCTCCCTGACAAAGAAACTCAATCCAAATGCAAAGAGCTTCACAGAGTGGGTGACAGAGAACAAGGCCTTGTTCTGAAACGAGAAATAAAACTAACTCCATATATAAATGCTAAACAATTTTATGCCCAGCTATTATATATTATTTTAGTTTAGTTTCCTTCTAATATTTCAATTTGTGTATGAACTGCTATACCTTTTGATTATTATTTTTATCAAATTTATAGCTGTGTAAACAAACAAGCGCTAGTACAAGCATCCTCTCAACACTGATATTCATTGCATGCCATGCAACCTAAACGGGATGCAATAAAGGCAAGAATGGGAATCATAACTGATGTACACTGACTAGGCAGACTCATGAGGTGCAATAACTAGAGAATATTGACATTCCAGAGAATACCAATGTACCAACAGTGCAAAAGAGCTGAAGTGTAGTTGGCTAGGCATCCCTTTGTGACAGTGCCAACTTGATAGTCCATGATATACCATACAGTACATACATGCATGCATGCAGGCACTTGCTATATTAGAATATCATGTAATATCACTCATCAATAAGGATCAAGGTCAGTCTCACACTAGCAAAAACAAATTCCAGAGTGCTTGGATATAAAATTGCTTTTCTGCCAAATTAGCTACAAACATGCATGCAAATCGAATAACCATCTGCCAATAGTAAGGGTGATATGATTTGCATATAAATAATGTACATGTGTATACAGTTATGCATGAATGTGTGGAGTATTGATTATCTTCATGTGTGTGTGTGTGTGTAATCATTATTGATTATCATACCTGTTAATAAGTTTACCATGTAACAATACATGATACATGATATGTGTGTGTGTGTGTGTGTGTGCATGTATTCATGTCTGTCTTTTGCTGCTTGAATTACCACAGCCATACTTCTTGTTCCAATTAGTATACACTTCTAAATCTTTATCAGAGACACTAGCACGAATGTTGCAAAAAGCATCTTCAAAATCATGATAATTGACAGGTCTGACCTAAGAGAGAGGGAGAGAGGATAAAGATACCCACTGAGACGGGGCGGTAGCTATTTCAATTATAAAATACACAGACACACTCTCCTTCCCATGTCTAGATCGCTATGGCAACGTAGAGGAGGTTACCTAGCAACTGGAGTGTGCCTCAGTTTATACAGGAGAGAGACATGACATGAAGGAGGAGCTTTTGATAAGAATAATACCCACAAGTATACAAAAATACATTCATGGCTGACCACAAGTCAGGCTGGCAGAAACTCAATTTGATTTAGAAGAAAGTAAATTCATTAGGGCAACCAGCTTTTGTCTGGGCAAGCCATTTGTAGAAATTACTATTTAATATTGTTAGTCACAAATGATAATCGCGCATAATATAATTTCAATATGTACAATAATAATTAATAAAGTAAACAATTAAATTATAATTATAGTGATTATCTGGATATGTGTATGTATACATGTAGAGAAGAACAAGAGCCTTTAGAGAGAAAGAGAGAGGAGGGAGGGATAATAAATGAAAATGTAAAAATAAATAGAGAGAGAAAGAGAAAGCTAAGGAAAAGAGAGAAAAGGGACAAAAAGAGAGCATAAATCAAAAAGCATGTTGTAATGGTTCATACACACTTCCTTCATCAGAATACATACAAACAGACCCAGACAGTCAACACTATACTCCATTCATACATTCATCTCATTAACAAGTTAGTGACGTAGACCATCATGCACTAACCAATCCTGTTAACAGGTTTATACAGCCCAACCCATCAGAGGTCACCTGCGTAGTACACAACACACACAGATACATATACAGGCATGATAATAAAGACTAGACATTCAGTGGGGCAGGCCCATAGGACTACTACGTACTTAGTCATGCACAATAGTTTTAATTATACCCCAAAGAATCCTTAGATAGGGTGGAACAGACACACACACACACATACACACAGACATACTTACATAGTGTATAAACATACATGTATGCAGTATGAATATATTTAAATGATAAGAGACATGTATGTGAATGCCTTTTTCTTAACCACTGTTAACTATTGTTACGTAACACGTCATCCCTCCACTCACGAATATGCATAACACAGACAGACAGTCATGAATTGAGTCTCATACAACTCCTGCCGTGAATAATTATAAATTCCAAAGGTCTCATTACTCTAGTAGCATAGTAATATCATGCAACATAAGGCTCTTCCTCAATCCTTTCCTACCTCTGTCTTACTTTCCCTCCCCCTTCTCCCCCTATTTCTCTCATTCACAAATAACACAATTATTATTAATATATCCATACCTCATCAGGTGAAATGTGTTGAATGTTATGAGCTGCATCTCTAATGGGGCCAAGGGCAGCCTCACGACACAGATTAGCCATATCAGACCCAGAATAACCTGCAAAGACAAATATAATAAAAGCAGGGACTATCCTGTGATGACATTCAATGAACACAATACATGTACATGTATATACACATGTACATGTATGCTAAATATTTTCTTAACCTTATAACTGTTATCTTTTATGTTTAAGGAAGTCCAAAGGTATTAATGAGGTTATGCACAAACTTAAGTATAAATAAGTAAATAGATAAATATAAGGTTATTATAGCAGCTTCCTCTACCAGTGGCCCTTCATCACCAGTCATGCCTCTGGACACTACACATTGACTAATAATGCTAATAATCATTAGCCAATTACCAGTGTATATATGTATGTATGGATAGTATTAGAAGTATGCCTGTTGCATCAGGACTTATGCCTATATAGAAACATGTACTTGCATGCAAGATACGTGTCATTGCATATTGTACAAGTTTGATTATATACATAGTACAAACAAGATTCCATTGCAAACAAAACGTGCATAAAAGAAACAGAGAAATGCACTGACATATGTATACTAATAATTGGAATGAGACAAACATTGAATTAGCTATAACAACTAACTGATTGTGTCAGGTAGCAACAACATGTGTGTGTGTGTGCTACATACACATACATGCCATCGTGCTAAAATTGCTATTATAATGCAGTACAAGCATAATACAGAGAAACAGAGAATGTACATCTACAATGTGCATATATGGCAAGTAGCTGTTCATAGTAATATAGCAATGGCTGTAAAATAAGAGGCCACTTACTAACAAATAATAACAAATGATAAAAATTATTACAAAATTGTTTTAAAAAAACTAGTCCCTCTATATGATACATTGTATGTGATAGTGTGTGCTTGATACCCTTGCCTTTGCTTGCTTCGCATAAGTTGGCAGTGTCTTCCTCTGATAACGAATACTTCTGATCCTTTAATAAATTGAGCACTATTTCTTTCCTAGCCACAGAGTCAGGCAATGGTATGTAGAGTCTCTTGACTAGTCTCCTCCTTGCAGCCTCATCAATCTCTTGGGGTCTGAGTACAATTAGAGTCATTGTATGAGTAGAGAATGAGGATTAAAAAACACACCTGTTTGTAGCACCTAAAGGAAGAGAAAAATGGAAGAGAGAGAGGAGGGAGGGAGAGAGGGAGCAAGAAGTGCAAAAGTGAGTAAGAGAAAAGATGAAAGATCAGACCAGACAATGCGACAGACAGGGAGTGGGGGGCATTCAAAGTCCTTTAAAATAATATTATTAAAAAGAGAAATTTCCAAATACCATTCACAGCAAGTATACACACGAGAGTATGTAGTGATTGCTTGTGTGAATATATAATCTAAGTACATAGGATGATGGATGTGCATGCATTTACATGCATGTACGTGAGCGTGTCTGGGAATTGGTAGTAAATACTTCACATACCTATCACTAGGAGTCTATCATTATCATCAGTAGTAGCACCATCCTATAATACAATAAGAGAAGAATATAATAACAAAGGCAGTGGCCTTCTCTATAAATTATTATAATAAATACAAGCTGATTTATACATGTACAGTTTGCTCTAAATATACTAGTTATTGGACTAATTTGCTTATATTAAAGCTATTATAAAAATATGTATACATACAACAAATCTCAATATAATAATAATAATAATAATAATAATAACAACAGACACAACGAGAGAGACAAAAGAGAGATACAAAAAGGGAAAGTCCATAAAGAAAGAAAAATAGAAACAAAAACCAGAGACAAAACAAAACAGCAAAACCAAAATAAAATATAAACATTATTATTATTATTATTATTATTATTAGCTAACCAGCTGGACAAGAAACTCTGTCTTTATCCTCCGAGATGACTCATGCTCACTGTCTGATCTCTGAGAGAGAAGAGAGTCTATTTCATCAATGAATACAACAGCTGGTTGATAGCATCTTGCTACACTGAATAAAGCACGAACCATCTTCTCACCCTCCCCCACCTAGCAATTGGGGTCAGGATAATGAGTTTAATTAGTAGGGGCTTACCCATTTAGAGGTAAGTGAAGAAGCACTGATGCTGAAGAATGTGGCCCTTACTTGGCTAGCTATACATTTACCTAACACAATTTGCTATGATTATTATTGATATTATTTATTTTCCTGCTTTACCAATTAATGTTTTGCCAGTACCTGGGGGACCAAAAAGTAAAATTCCTTTAGGTGGCCCCCTCAGTCCTTTAAATATATCACTGGAGGGGGCAGCATAAAAAGACGTAAAGAGTAATATTTGTTTTCACATACGGTCTCAACATTGGCCACACTACAATCTCTTTGATGGTGTCTTTGGCAAACTGAAGTCCAGCAATGTCATCCCAACCAATCGGAGAACCATGATCCATAATCTAGAGGAGAGTGAGAGACTGGATTTGATTGTGATACTCACTTCATTCATTATCAGTTCTATCATTCTTGGCTCAATATTTTTCAAAAGTTCATTTCCTTCTAGTTCAGGAGGTAAATTAACATTACACCCAACAGTAGGTCCATTAGCAGCTGCTCCTGTTGCATTATTACTATACAATACTCTGGAACTGTATTAATGCATTAAGTACACATGTTAAAAATACATTTTACTTTATTTCTGATACGTCACTTTTCTTTATGGGCGGCACAAAACTACTACCAGCTGTCCGTCTAAAAAAACAATTATTGTTAACTCAATTATCATATGTATATACAGTAGTAAGCATGTTCATGTACCTTGTTCCTAGTGATTTTTTGCTGCTGCCATAAGAATTTAAACTGATAGCGTCTTCATTATTACTAGTAACATCAGCTCTAGCTCTTGGAACTCTCCCTCCTCCTCCTCCTCTTCCAAACTTTCTCTTCTGATCAATAACCTACAACACATGATACAGATATGAAATATCAATAAAAAATATCAATTTTAGCATGATTTGAAATTTTATCAAGTTCAAGGATTCATAATTTATAGGTTATAAACTGACTGAAATTTCTGTATGGCTGGCAGTGGCGTAGCTACACCCAGGCCTGCCGGGCCTAGGCCTGGGTATCAGATCCCAGGTCAAATAATTAGACAGTTGAAATATCAATGATCAATTGTTTACCAGAGATTATTGAGCACTGCTCTACAAGAATAGGACTTCTTTCCTTGATTTTGATTGCTTAGCAATAGTATTTTGTGAGATCTAACACAAAAAACCAGCGATCTCATACAAATTCTACTCAAAAGCAGCCATTTGCCACCGGTTTAATTGACCACACCCATCATGAATATCATTAAGAGCGTGAAAATTTTTCGGCACGCTTTGCACGCCAATTATTTTTCTTCCCTGGCCCAGGCATCACAAAAGGTCTGGCTACGCCACTGATGGCTGGAGGCCAATTTTAGTGACACTGTGTACATTAATTACATTAAATTAATCCTCACATATTGATCTTTTGCAGTGATAAAATCCTGTCCATGGCCACGTCCACTAACAATACACTCCTCCTCTTCCTCACTGTCATCATGTCCTCTTTTCCTCCCCTTATCTTTTAACGGATAACTAGAACCTCTTCCACGTAAGTAGCCCCTTCCACTATCAGAAACATCCTACAAATACAATAGATCTAATTAATAGTTATCATTAAAATTATTAACTTCATGTAGAGGTTCCGAAACAGATTTTGATCTGCTATACTGGGTCTGATAAACGCCCTGACCTATATTCAATGAAACTAAGTGAGGATCATGTGACTCACTTTTAGTAGAGGTTATAGGGGGAGGCAAGGGAGGAGGGGTTGGTGGGTGTGGTTCCAATGATGGTATAGGAGGGACAGTAGGAATGGAATTAGGGAGAGAAAACCTGACGTCTCTAACCTTTAAAGAAAGAGGGGAGAGGGAGAGAGAATAAGATTAAAATCAACCCTCGCTTACCTTCTCTCTCTTCATCAGTTCTTGGACAGAAGGTATTGTCATGGCAATATCTTTATTCAATCCAGTCCTCCAATGCTTACTATCTATTATATGTACATGTAAATGCTGGGTTTCCCACAAAGCATGCTAAGTGAGCTAAAAAGCATACTTCATGAGATGACAAGCCTAATAGCATATAAATTTTTAAAAATCAAATTTTGATCAAAATGAGCTCAAACTTTCTACAGTATATTCATCAAAAAATTATAAAACTAAAAAATTCTCCCCTAGTTGTTTCCGACAAAATTCAGCCAATTGGGAATGAGCTCAAACTTAAAACATAACATAAGATCGTGTATATGTATCAGAAAAAAATAATAACAATTGAAAAAAATTTCCTTTTCATTTTTGGCAAATTTGGCCAAAAACCCTGCATGTCTTGGCAGTTTGGCCCAATTTTGGAGCAACTTTTGAAAAAAGCTGAGTACTATGCCAAAATCCTGTGGGCAACCTTGTATAAATGCACTTGCAGACAATTAAAAAAGGTATAACATAAAACTGTAACTTTGCTTATTTTTTATAGACCAGTTGGCGCTAAGTATATTCATAGAATTTTAAGTATATTCATCATGATACCGAAAATAAAGTAAAATTTTTCTACCGCCATTCCTACCTAATACAACTCTTAGTTAATTACCATTTCTGACTTCACGTACTGCCCCTCGCACTCCAGAACTGATGACTGCTTCAACTGACTGAGCAAAATTATTTAAACCTACAGTTTTATTTGTTCATTTTGGTGATAAAGCAGAAATTATTTTCACCTCTACTGGTGTCCTGGGTGTCAATTACTGATGAGTATTGATGTAAATGACGGTTCAATAAATCAAGCAGCTGCAATTTCTCTCCTTTGTTGGAGCTAAAAAGTTTTGATAGAAAATTTTAAAAGTAAGTTGTATTTTAATACTTTAACAGGTAAGAGCAATGAAGCTGACTAGCTCTTATTCTAAAAGATTCTGCTCTTGATCTCAAGGTCTGACCTTCAAGGAACAAAGCCCTCTGCCAAAGGAACAAATCTTTACTCGAGTCTTTACTGGTCTCCATTTTAATTACCAATTTCCCGCCTTGTTCAGGAGGCGCGGTGCTGTCATATGCGCATGCGTAAAGTCACGTGTAGATCTACCGCAACTAGCTGTAAACTCTAAATTGCGGTCACAAAATTGAAGTAAAAAAAATAATAGCAAAATGTCTTCTCTCTTGTATTTATCTTGTTTCTTACATTTTGTGGTATTTTCTAACTGTGACTATCCTTCAGTTGACTGTGCCAGCTCACCACAGTCCTCTTATACATTTTGTGATACCAGCAAGTCCCCAGAGGAAAGAGCTACAGATCTGGTATCTCGTCTCACAACGGAAGAAATAATAGCTCAAACCTCCACCATAGCTCCAGCCATTTCTCGCCTAGGTATCAACGCTTACAACTGGCGCTCGAACTGTCTCCATGGATGGGCTAGCTCTGGTGGTCACTGGACGAGTGGCTTGCATTGGACTGTATTCCCAGCTCCCATTAACTTAGGGGCATCTTTTGATCCAGAAATAGTTGAGCAAGTGGGATCAGCCACTTCAACTGAGGGTAGAGCATTGCATAATATAATGCTTGAAGCTGAGAAAGGTGATAGTACTGAAGCAGCTGGACTTAACTGTTTCTCACCAAATGTCAATTTGCTAA